ATATTTACCAACACAGACGATCCTGCATTTTACTTAATATTAAAACCACCTATGATACATCACGATACCCAGATGTGGCCCAAATGTTTAGAAATATCTTTTATCTAAAGAAAACTCTACAGAACGACACACTGGAACTAGTCTATGGTACCATAACCTTCCCTAAGCCGATGCTCAAAACTATCTACAGAGCAGACGCTGATGGAGGAGCACAATGGCAGGATTTATCAGAGCTGGAACAGGGATGCACATTTCTGCTCAGTCTGGTTCCATCTGGTCCAGTCTGCCGTGTCCTCAGCGGTCTCGACGAGCTTCAGTAGACCTGACTAAGTTGGGTTAGGTCAGGTTGGGTCACTTCCTGTGTGTGTTGTGAATTTTGGGGATCTCATTGATCTCCACACAAAGAGCAACAGACCCAGCACACACTGGGTCCCCCCTGCACTGCCAGGGGGAAGATTACATTCAAAACAGACAGCAGCAGAGATAGCCATCATGCTGCCAGCCTACATTCCCCCGAGCCTTCACAGACACACACACACACACACACACACACACAGTGTTCAGACCACAAAGAGACCATTGCATTGGCACAGTAAGGGCTTCGATAAAAAGAGGCAGGCTAGTTTGGCAAAAAACGTACCTGGCTCAACTTTTGCCACAATGCATCGTCATTGGTACCGCAGTCAAATACATGCAAGGCTATATTCAGGGTATCTGAAGGAACAAGCCCTCACATACAGGGTTGTTTTTAGTTGGAACAAGCTCTTATACTTTTAATATCCTGCATGGTACTGATGCTCAATGAGGTTTACATCTGTGTGGGAAAGGAGAAGTACATATCTGTCCGTATGCGTATGTCCGCACATATATACATTTAACTTGTTTGAATTGAAGTAAAAACAAACTCATGTGGTGATATTCTCCATCTTTTACTGTGACAGATTATATTTGTGCCAAATGTAGTGCACACAGAAATATTAACAAAAGATCATGTCAAATGCTGATAGAAAGCATTAAAATTTAGAAACAAAAAGTACTTTAACTTTAACCAAAAGCTCAAATCTTCTATGATAGCTTATGAAAAACATATTTCCTTCAAATTTGCTCACTAATAAGTTATAAAGAAAGGTTAAAACTTCAAATAGAGACACTGGTTGTGACTGAAACTGAAAGTATTACACTTTCAAAAACACATTCAACACAACTGTAAAGAAGAAGGTAAACATCATACGTACGTACAGTATATGAAAAAAGTGCACAGCCTGATCTCGCCACAAAACCTCAAAGGCCTGCATAACAATGAACAAAACTAATAGTAATGAAGATTAGACGTTTATAAAGTCATTAATACAAGTAGAACAAAAATACAAACCCTAACTTCTGTCCTACTGAACTTCAGTCTGAAGCGCACACACACACACACAGTCTAAATGCATGAAACCACATCCTGACATATATAGGAGGTGTGAACGTGGAAACCTGCTTATGACCACGTTAGAAAACCGGCGCTCTAGTGACGTAATGATGCACTCAACTCACGATTAAATACAAGTCAATATACTGCGTGCACGATACGGTTTCTGTAACTATATGAGATTATGACTGAAAACAGTTACTTTAGTCCTCAAACAAAGACCTAGAAAACATATTTCCTTTATCTAAATAGTGTAAACTATACATATTATGTATATTTCAGGAAGTCTTTTCATAATTGATCTCACTATTCACTGTTAATCTCATAGATTTGAGTCTTTACATATTTGTAACTATCTCACAATATGTCTTTACATTCCTACTGCTCTCACATTAGTCACATTTTGCCATTAAAGACCCTTTTCCAATCACTGATCCACAATGAAGGGCCTATAAACCCCAGTAGTCTGACCACATGCAGGTAGAGACCACCCACCCATCTTGAACATATTCCATTAATGAGCTGTCAGTGCAGAATTGATGCTCGCTCTCTCGCTCTCTCTCACACACACACACACACTCATACAGACACACACCAAGACACAGATAAATGGACACACACTGACTGAGACCCCTGGTGCTTTACAGCCGTGCCTTAGCAGGTGATTTATGAGGGGAGAGTCATCCCACACGTTAAAAACCTGGACATAATTGACATGAGCCACACAGGAGCTGTACGATCACTGACATGGCACACGGACACAAAGCCAGAACACACTTGTAAATTCATTCCCGTCACACTGAGAACAAATCAGCTTTTTTTTTTTAAAGAGAGGGACCGGCTCCTCTGCAATTAGTAGACAAAGGAAAAAAGGTCCCAGGTCTTAGTAATGCTTCCATTAAAGTGACTTTAAAAAGGTGCAATCACTTATACTTACTGCCTCTTTGCACTAAATGACTCATTTTTAATCATTTTTAGCAGGAAAGTGAAAGTATTCAATACCAGTCATTGCAGTGAGGTTACCACAGTAAGATTTAGTGAAATAATTGAATTATATTGGACATTAACTTTTAGTGCAATCATATTGTGATGTTATAAACATGTAGTGTTATCATTTTACACAATTCAGGTCAAAATAATGTAAATAAAAATAGAAATACACAATATGTGTGTGTGTGGTCCAGACCTAATTAACTTTCAGTTAAAGTAAAAAGTTGACAGAGATATCAAGTATCATGAACAGAGCAAGTTTTTGCTGGGAATGGTTCAATGACCCAGGTTCCCTGAACTACCCACTGTGCACAAGGCACTTAGTTAAGTTTCTGTTAAAACACACAAGTGCACATTGGCACCACATTTGCAATTACGCAGCCTCAAAAACTTCCACAGTTTCAACTCACAACTGCAAGAAAACTCAAATTTGAAGAGATTCACAATATTTGTTGGCAATTACATTTTGTGAAATCTTAAATAAATATAAATCATTATGATATTCCCACTTTTTAGCTCAAGATCTTAACTGAAAACCAGAGCAAAGAAGGCCCACAATTAAAATATATAACTTTCTCTTTCACAAACTCAGAACAAAAACCTATTCATACATCAGGACTTTTAACTTAGTGCTCAAACAAATACTGCCAACAATAATGAACAATGCAAATACACTGTTATGAATCACAATCATACCAAAACCAAAAGCTGGACTAAATACTAAAACATACATACAACTCACAACTCTAGGGTTTTATTTATGTTGAGCATTGGTTATTCTGAAAAAAAAACCTATTAGGTTTAGTTAGGAAAGTGAGTAAAGTGACAGCGTTTTACATTATGTACATATAACCCTGTAGAACAGTTTGTTTAATGAACTGTACGCTCCAATTAACCCACAGTGTGGTTTATCTATATATAACACATTTACTTAAGTATCAGCAGTCTTTGTAAGTCAATATGAGCTAGTGTGTGTGTTTGCGTCAGCTGGTGAGGCTGTGTTTTTTTTGTTTTTTTGTCAATGAAGGTTAATTAGTTAAGAATGAGAAAGAAATAGCCAGGTCCAATTACAACCACCCATTAGCTGGGAAACACAGACTTCAACAGGCACTGTCAACTACTTGCTACCCGTGTGACAGCAGGTAAACTAGAGAGAAATGTACGGTGAGACTAATTCACCGAGACAATCTTTTCTCATTTGTACCGAGGGGCTTTGGTTTTAACCCGAATGCTACTTATCATCAAAGACAATAATCCACCTGATCCCCATAGATTTCACATTCCTCAGAGTTAAACGTCATGTGATAACAGTAGCCATCCTTCAGTATCCATCTAACTGGCCCATAAAGACGGACAGAAAACAAAGCTAACGCCAATACGTCCACGTTACACTTTACATCCCCAGTACTGAAAACCAGTCCAGTAATCAACCCGTCTACCGTTTTATAACTCAGGTATGCAAAACATCCGAAAAGCTGAGGTCATAATAACATTTTCAGAAGTCAGGAAGAAGGGGGAGGAGGCGGCGGGGGGGGGTTTAAGAGAGTAAGAGTGACTGAAATTTGAGCAATTTCCTGCTGCTGCATGGTGATTAAAATTCCCCTGTTAGTTTAAAATCAGTTCTTAAAACGTATTATTAGGAGGACATTCCTCAGGACTTTGGGCTGGTTCGTGGCACTAGCAAACTGTAATGACTGCAGAGGGGTGACGAAGATAGATGGAGGAAGAGGAGAGAGAGAGAGAGAGAGAGAGAGAGAGAGATTAAAAAATCAATAAGCTTTTAGTGAAGGAAAGGGACTACAGTGTTATACTTTTCATGTCAACAAGTAAACCAAGATCTCTTCTTCTCCGAGTTCAGCGAAGGGGTAGAAAGAGTATTGTTAAGCCTTTATTTTAGAGACTGTAAAATAAATAATATAGTCTGTAATGTTTTGTTTCATCTGTAGAATTAGATGGGTTAGTCCATGTCTCCCTTCTCCTATCTGTAATTAAATAATCATACAACCTCCACCTCGTTTCCTGCTTTTTAAACAACAAAATGTGCTGAGATAGTGTGTGTGTGTGTGTGTGTGTGTGTGTGTGTGTGTGTGTGTGTGTGTGTGTGTGTGTGTGTGTGTGTGTGTGTGTGTGTGTCCAGCGAACTGTGCACCCCAGCAGAAATTGTGCCCTGTAAGACAAGACAGTCAGGATTCAAGCAAGAAGGCAGGCTAGGTAAAATGTCAAATCACTGCAGCCACTTGATAAAAAGACAAGAGACGTCACATCCAGCTGAGTCCTGCACTGTGTCCCACTGACAGAGGACAGACAGACTGTGGCAGCCTGGCCACTGACTGCTGGGCTATCTAGGAAAACAATAACACTTTTCTTCCCCCCCACAGCTGCCACAGCAACCAGTGCAATCATCCAGCTTCAAACAGACTCTGAATGCAGAGTTTGGCTACAAACACCAGCACAGGAGGCATCTCTCAGTAATCCACTTTGGTTCCAGACTAGTGCTAACATGTTTGGGACCTGTGTCTGTGTTCAAATACATGTCTGAAATCAAATAAATATACAAGAATAAAATAAAGGAAAGTAAGGAAATAGGCTCTCTTACCCATCCTCCTCGCCATCAACAGTCTTGAGACCAGCTGATGCAGTTAAGGCACTGGCGGTAGCGGTGTTGCCCTCAGCTTCTTGACCCTGGCCAGTGCTGGATCCAGACCCAGCCTCCCCTCCAGACAGCTTGGGCAGCCCCAACAAAGCCGACTGGTGCTGGAGGAGCAGCCGCTGGGCGTCCTGCAGCTGGGTGGTGGTGAATGTGGGCAGACTAGCATAGAGGGCACTGGCCTGGGCGGCATGAGCCAGGGCCTGGGCACTGCTGTGGTCCTGGGACAAGCTGACACAAGATGGTTGGCTTTGAGGAACACCCTGTGGGGGCATCCTACCACTATTCCCAGTATTGTGGGCTTGGGGCTGCGCCTGGGGATCGCTCTGAGGGTTGGGAGGAGGCACACTTGATGCAGACACTTGGCTCTGGTGGACTGTTGTGGGCAGCTGGGTACCCAAGCCCGGATTTTGGATTTGTGTTGGGAGTGACTGCGGCTTCTGCTGCTTGCAATCCAGATGGCCAGGGTGGCTCTGGGGCTGCTGGCCAAGACCTGGTACTCCAACATGGGAGGGCATACTGGAGGTGGCGGTCTGAAGGGAGGAGGGCTGCTGGGACTGTGCGTGAAGGAGCGCCTGTGACTGCTGCAGGCCTCCCATCATCTGACATGCTCCATTAGCTGGCCCAGAGGGAACTGATCCAGCTTGATTGGACAGAGGTTGAGAAGCAGCGCCCTGGGGGAGACCTTGGTGAGACTGGGTGTACTCAGGTGGCCTCACCTGCACTGGGGCTGCTTGGGGGGTAGCAGATGGCTGCTGCGGCAGGGTGGCATAGCCCATCTTCTGTTGCTGAACACCCACAAGGCCCTGTGTGGAACCTGTGGATTGATTAGCAACCGCCTGGGCATAGGTGAGCTGCTGCTGCTGCTGCTGCTGCTGCTGGTGTACAGCAGACGTAGGGTGACCGATGGTGGTCTGGTGGCCTGACATGGGAGCAGGCTGATGAATGTTTGTGGGAGCCGAGGGGGCCACAGTAGTCTTCACATGTGAATGGGTAACATCCTGGGGGTGCATGTGAGGCTGGGTTTGGGACACTCCCATGCTTAAGCCACTGGGGAGGATTCCTTGAAAGCCCTGAGGAGGGGAGGCATAATCCTGGACATGCTGGGGTACTGGGGGTCCCCCTGTCTCTCCACTGCACACACTCTCAGTGTAATGGCTCATTGTACTCATAGTGCTACTCACAGAACTACCACTTGTGCTTTCCCTCTCTGAGGCCGCAGCAAAGCTCTCAGAGACGAACTGACGCATGCTGAGAGACCCAGTATCAGATGCAGAGGAGCTGGGAGCCGAGGCTGGGTTATCCTTGTCATAAAATTCAGTGCATGTCCATCTGCCCTTCTTAAAGGGTTCAGAGCTAGAGTCCAACTTCACCACCCTGAAGCGAGAACTGGTGGCAGCCACCGCGGGGGCTGGAGCTGGGGCGGGCTGGGCAGGGGTGGATGGTACGGGGGCTGCTGCTGTAACAGGGGCGCTCACGGCCTGCAGCACAGCAGATCCAACTCTTCCCTGGATCCCACTGGAGAGTCCCATTCCTCCAGAGGCACTGACAGCAGCAGCAGCAGCAGCAGCAGCAGCAGCAGCAGCGGCAGTACTCGTAGTAGTCATAGCGATGTTTTGATGCTGCTGGATCATGCCGACATGAGCGGTTGTCATGAGGTTACCCCCGCCTGCAACGGCACCTCCGCTGCCCCCACTACTGCTTATCACATTGAGAGGAAAGCCACCACTGCTACTGCTAGCACTCGTGCTGATCCCCCCTCTCACAGGCACGTTGGCAGAGCTCAACATATTCACATTACTAACACTGCTGGTCTGGGGATTAACTATGCTAACTGTAGTGCCCGTAGCAGAGCTGTGAATTCCAGGGACAGATCCCGGGGCCACGACCCCGACAGGCTGAGCGACAATACTTGGAGGGGCCGCCTGGGACACATTCTCTTGGGGGACCCCGACGTTAGAAGGCATTTTCTGGGTGACGCAAGGTAAAGCTCCAGAAGGGAGGGCAGATGGGGTGCTCCCAGGCCCCGAGGACAGCGGGTAGACCTGGGCATGGTTAGGATGATGAGGGTGTTGATGGTGCACAGTCCCGTTGACCATTGCCCCGCCATGCTGATGAGCCTGGTTCAGGGCATGTGGGTGCGAAGGCTGGTTGGGGGAGACAGCTCCAGGGGTCTCTGCCTCGTGGAAATTATTCAGCGTCTCCTCCGAAGAGCTTCTCTCTCCTCCCACTATGTCGTTAGCTCGGGAGAGGGACACATCCAGGATTTCAGAAGAGGAGAGATCCTCCGTGTGGGACTCATCCAGGTCGTCGTAGCTCTCCGTGTCCTCTGCAATACTGTTGTTGGTACTCACAGAAATCTGAGCCGGAGTCACACTTGTGATCTGAAAACCGCTCTTCTTTTTTATCTGGGCTCCGGCCGACTGCGTGGGCTGGGGCTGGGGGTGCAGATTCAGGCTGTGGGGGGGAATATGATGGGGACCCGGGGAGGAAGAACCAGCAGGGGGTTGGCACTGGATCAACAGGGAGGGCTGATACTCATCGGCCGGGACGTGGCTGTTATTGACCACCTGGTTGGCCGGTGTTGACAGCCCGGAGCCGCTCCCGCTGCCTGTGTTACTGCCTCTTCTGTGAAAGGCAGCCGGGTGCGCCATCTTTCTAACACTGCCAGAGTCTCCTGCAGGGTCCGGATGATGCATCTCGACGGGATCCGGGGGGTAGTTTGTCTCTGACAGTATGCAGCGAGGTTGTAGTTCGTTAACGGCGCCGTCTTGACAAAACTACGAAGAACAGACAACACGAGCAAAAAAAAAAAACAAAAACAAAAAACAAACAACAACAAATATGGGAACTAAGAGTCTCGGCTTGTTGTTGGAATAGCAGGCAGATATTTACAGCCTCTCCTACACGAAGACAAATAACAATAAAAAGAGAGGAGTTAGCTCACCGAGCAGCTAGCAGCGAGCTAACGTCAGCTGATGGCAGTTGTAATCACCGGCTAACTGAGCTAGCTAGCTCTGGTACCCGTTGGCGCCTTTGTTAAACACAATATAACATTTTTAAATTTAATTTAATTTCCTAACGAGAAGCTTTTAGTCCACACGTAACGTGATAGCAAAAAAAAAAAGAAAAAAAAGCGGGGGGGGAGCAGTGCTGGCTCAGTGCTGCTGCTGACAGGAGGAGTAACGTCGGCTAGTTAGCAGCCAGTCTCCATCACCCGGCTAACTCAAATAAAAACAGACTTTTAATGTTTAAACTCTTCAATGAGCTCAAAAAGGAAGAAACAGGGAAACACGCAACCTTTCATCCGGAGCACGGCGATGTAAAAACCGAATATAGTCACTGAGCAGCGGCGGAGAAAGGTTTAATCCATCCCCGCTGGGTTCCTCGTTTCTGCTGTATCACTGGTCCTCCCCGGTGTGTGTGTGTGTGTGTGTGTGTGTGTGTGTGTGTGTGTGTGTGTGTGTGTGTGTGTGTGTGTGTGTGTGTGTGTGTGTGTGACGGGGACTGGAGGGGAGGGGTGCTCCGTAATATGGCGACCGCGCATGGTCTCTGCTGCCAGACATAAAGCAGTCTGGGAGAGGCGGGGGGGACGAACACAACGTCAACATCGCCGGAAAGTGCCGGAAAGAGCCGAGGACAGGGCGCTCCCTTAACAACACAGGTTATAGGATAGCTGGATAGATATTCAACTTTATTTTATATTTAGGTATATATTTTATTATATTCTAGAGTTATATTAGCTTTTTATCATTATATTTAAATTTTATTATATTATATATATTATATATATTTTTATGTTTTATTGTATTTATAGGAACATCTTAGATATTCAACTTTATTTATATTTAGGTATATATTTTATTATATTCTAGAGTTATATTAGCTTTTTATCATTATATTTTAATTTTATTATATTATATATATTATATATATTTTTATATATTTTTTGTTTTATAGGAACATCTTAGATATTCAACTTTATTTATATTTAGGTATATATTTTATTATATTCTAGAGTTATATTAGCTTTTTATCATTATATTTTAATTTTATTTTATTATATATATTATATATATTTTTATATTTTTTTGTATTTATAGGAACATCTTATATTTTATTATATTCTAGAGTTATATTAGCTTTTTATCATTATATTCTTATTTTATTATATTTTATATTATATATATTATATATTTTTATATATTTTTTGTATTTATAGGAACATCTTAGATATTCAACTTTATTTATATTTAGTGTATATATTTTATTATATTCTAGAGTTATATTATATTTTTATTATTATATTCTTAATTTTATTATATTATATATTATATATATTTTTGTATTGTATTTATAGGAACATCTTATATTTTATTATATTCTAGAGTTATATTAGGTTTTTATCATTATATTCTTATTTTATTATATTTTATATTATATATATTTTATATTTTTATATTTTTTGTATTTATAGGAACATGTTAGATATTCAACTTTATTTATATTTATGTATATATTTTATTATATTCTAGAGTTATATTAGCTTTTTATCATTATATTCTTATTTTATTATATTTTATATTATATATATTATATATTTTTATATATTTTTTGTATTTATAGGAACATCTTAGATATTCAACTTTATTTATATTTAGGTATATATTTTATTATATTCTAGAGTTATATTAGCTTTTTATCATTATATTCTTATTTTATTATATTTTATATTATATATATTATATATTTTATATTTTTTTGTATTTATAGGAACATCTTAGATATTCAACTTTATTTATATTTAGGTATATATTTTATTATATTCTAGAATTATATTAGCTTTTTATCATTATATTCTTATTTTATTATATTTTATATTATATATTTTTATATTTTTTGTATTTTTTGTATTTATAGGAACATCTTATATTTTATTATATTCTAGAGTTATATTAGCTTTTTATCATTATATTCTTATTTTATTATATTTTATATTACATATATTATATATTTTTATATTCTTTTGTATTTATAGGAACATCTTAGATATTCAACTTTATTTATATTTAGGTATATATTTTATTATATTCTAGAGTTATATTAGCTTTTTATCATTATATTTTAATTTTATTATATTATATATTATATATATTTTTATATTTTATTGTATTTATAGGAACATCTTAGATATTCAACTTTATTTTATATAGTGCGTATATTCTTTTGTGTTCTAGAGTTGTATTATATTTTTATCATTATATTTTCATTTTATTATATTTTATATTTTTTTATATTTTATTGTATTTATAGGAACATCTTAGATATTCAACTTTATTTATATTTATGTATATATTTTATTATATTCTAGAGTTATATTAGCTTTTCTCATTATATTTTAATTGTATTATATTTTATATTATATATATTATATATTTGTATATTTTATTGTATTTATAGGAAAATCTTAGATATTCAACTTTATTTATATTTATGTATATATTTTATTATATTCTAGAGTTATATTAGCTTTTTATCATTATATTTTTATTTTATTTTATTTTATATTATATATATTATATATTTTTATATTTTATTGTATTTATAGGAACATTATTATTGCCTTATTTTATCTTAGATGAAAATATAGATATTCAACTTTATTTTATATAGTGCTTATATTCTTTTGATATTCTAGAGTTATATTATATTTTTCTCATTATATTTTAATTTTATTATATTATATATATTTTTATATTTTATTGTATCTATAGGAACATCTTAGATATTCAACTTTATTTTATATAGGGTGTATATTTTGTTATATTTTAAATATATATTAGACTTTTTTCATTGTATTTTATTATATTTTATATTATATATATTATATATATTTTTATATTTTATTGTATTTATAGGAACATTAATATTATTATTTCTTTTTATCTTTGATAGATAAAGAGCTAGATAGATATATATTCAACTTTATTTTATATAATGTATGTATTTTATTATATTCCACATTTATATTCGATTTTTTGTCATTATATTTGTATTTTATTATATTTTATTGTATTTATAGGAACATCTTATCTTAAATAGATAGATAGATATTCAACTTTATTTTATATAGGATGTATATTTTATTATATTCTGAATTTATATTAGATTTTTCTGATTATATTTTTATTTTATTATATCTTATATACTTCATTATTTTTATATTTTATTGTATTTATAGGAACATTATTATTATTATTTAACTTATATAGAAGATATATATTCAACTTTATTTTAGATAGGGTATATATTTTATTAAATTCTAGATTTCTATTAGTTTGTTGTCCTTTTTATTCTATTCTATTTTATATTATATTATATATTTTAATATTTTATTGTATTTATAGGAACATTATTATTATTATTTTATTTTATCTTATATAGATAGATATTCAACTTTATTTTATATAGTGTATATATTATATGATACATTTATATTAGATTTTTGTCATTATATCTTTATTTTATTATATTGTAAAATAAATAGGAACATCTTATTTCATCTTATATAGATGGATAGATATTCAACTTTATTTCATATAGTGTATTTATTTTATTATATTCTAGAGTTATATTGGATTTTTTTCATTATATTATTATTTTCTTAAATTTTATATTATATATATTATATATTTTTATATTTTATTGTATTTATAAGAACATCTTATCTTATTTTATCTTATATAGATAGATATTAAACTTTATTTTATATAGTGTATATATTTTATTATTCTAAATTTATATTAGATTTTTCTCATATTTTTATTTGATTATATTCTATATTAAATACATTATATATATTTATATTTTATTGTATTTATAGAAATGTTATTATTATTATTTTATTTTAGTGTATATATTTTTTATAATATTCGGAATTTATATTTGATTTTTTTTATATATTATTATTTTATTGTATTTATAGGAACATCTTAGATAGATATTCAACTTTATTTTATATAGTGTATAAATTTTATCATATTCAAAATTTACTTGGGATTTTTTCTATTCGATTCTTATTTTATTATATATTTTTTATTCCTTTCTGCTTTGAATTTCTATTACGGGGATCACTAAAGGAACATCTTATCTTATCTTAGATAGATATAAGGAATATAACTCATTCTGCAAAATGTATATTTATCATTAAGTATATTTTGTTTATAATACTGCCATACTTTTTAATTAATTAGATTTTTACATTGTTCTGTTCTACTATTTCTTACTTAAGGATCTTAGTACGCTGCGTATACTCACAGCTAATCAAAGGATATGCTTATGCCTGCAGATGGGAAACAGTACAGTAATTTACCCAAAGAAAAGATTAAACAAACAAAAATATAACCTGTAAATACACCTTTAATGCAATGCAACCCTTCTGAGCATTTGCAGTGGATCGAGCAAAACATCAACATCACAACAGTGCTTCTGAAACAAAGGTAGACAGAGAGCTGCTGGATCTCTCTGCAGACACAGGTGTTAACTACACTGAAGGATTATTCTACACACAGGTACTGTTTGGGGCCTCTCCCTCTCTCTAATGTGTGTGTGTGTGTGTGTGTGTGTGTGTGTGTGTGTGTGTGTGTGTGTGTGTGTGTGTGTGTGTGTGAGATAGAGAGAGAGAGAGAGAGGCTGAGAGAAAACATACACATTTGTTGGTCTGTAATGTTGTTGGGTCAATGAACTCTGGCGTTAAAGTGGTCAACTATATCCATTTTCCGGTCTTTTCTGTTCAATTCTGCATATAAAGATCCTGTTCTAGTTCTCTTTTCAGTTCATATTTACTCTTCTCTCACCACCATAATCTTTATTTAGACTTATGTATATACATAAAAGTGCTTTATACACTTAGTTGTACAGGGGGCATCGTGGTTTCTGGTGGACTGAACAGGTAAAAGGTTAAAAATATGTTTGAAAACTAAATTTAATCACTAAATTAAGCTAACTTCTTGGATTGTCTCTCAATAGCAGAGGCAGACTCCTCAGAGAAAAGACATCCCCTTAAAAATGTAATTAATTCAAGGCTACTGGTCTTATTATAAGGTTAATCAACCTGCAGAATGTCTCAAAATAGCCAAATAAAAAAAAAAATCTGTCTTTTGGTAGTTAAAGAAAATATGAGATTTTTAAGTTCAGTGTGCTAGTTTCAGTCATTTGGATCAGAAAACGTAAATCTTATTCAATTAAATTTAGTTTGTATGGCACCAAAATCATAACAGAAGTTATCTCAGGACACTTTTCATGCAGAGCAAGTCGTCTTCTTTCAAAGCCTCGAACAGAAGAGGAGCAGGGAGGGAAAGGCTAGAAATAGAGAGAGGAGGAGGAGTTGAGGTAACTAATAGACAGGAAGGACAGAGCAAGTGGTTAGCGAGGGAAGTGGAGGAGCAAGAAAGAGAAGAGAAGAGCAGCAGAGATCGACTGTCAGGCGAGCAGACGGGCTTGTATCCATCG